TATATATATATAGGATACTTGAATATGTGAGTTACACTGCTGATGGGCCTGAATGCAGATGTCAATGGAACTCCTCATTTTACTCCCAATACAAGAGGAAGTAAACGAAAGCAATAAAAATAAACACTCTGAGAAACGAGCGGAATATATGGGAACATATATTTCTAGACAAGTAACACTGCAAGACTCACAGCAGGCGCGGGAAGAAGCAGATGAAATGGTGGCTGGATGGAATACAAGAGGTTGGCTGATAAAAGAATAGAAAATAGCATCGTTGAGTTGTTCTTGTTTTGTGATTCCTTCGGGTATATACATATATATTCTTTTATTTGTCTTCTGAGGTATCTGAGCTTACTTGTTTCTTGACAACAGAGTGGGCGTGTGATTTATTTTCGCTTTCAAAAGGACAGTTGCCGTGTCATCTGGTCAATGTTTTTATTTGTGTGTTGCTTGTTTCTGTTGTTGTTGTTGTTGTTGTGGTTTTTTATTTATATTTCTCTTTGAGTGCGTGCATCTCCAGCCGTACTGTATACGGGCCCACTTTGCCCTCATTTTCTCCACTTCAACACGCACAAACACATTCCTTTTTTTTTTCTTCTCTCTTGAAGTACTTATGTACATATATATATATATATTATATATATATATAATATAGCTGCCCATTGACGTGATGTATTGAGAAGGTCGTGATGACTGAGACTCACATTTACTCTTTTTTTTTTCTGCGTGTTGTTACTGACAATTTGTTTTTTATTTTGCCTTTTTGTTCTTGCGTGTGTGTGTTTTTCTTTTTTTTTTAAAAAGAAAAAGAAAAGCACTTAAGAGATGAACCCAACGGCGGTATCCCCATCACTAGAAAAGAAAAAAAAGCAAAAGACAATTTCTTGTTTTTTTTGTTGTTGTTTTGTTTTCTTGCCTTTTATGTGTTTGACGCCTTTTTTTTTTTTATTATTATTATTGTTATTGCATGTTTCAATTGTTTACTTGTATTCTTTCTGCACGTGCCTTTTTTGTTTGTTTGATTTTATACTGTTTTGTTGTTGTTTTCTTTTTTTGCGTTTGTTTGCAGTCTCAGCGCATGCCATGATTATTTGTACTTTGGCAGTGCACGCGTGCCCACTTTATATACATTAATTCACTCATACACGTGTGGGCTACGATGTACACTTTGCGCATGACAGCACATAATGCCCGACCGCGGGCGGCACCCGCAACACACAGACTAAGAGGGAAGAGGACAAAACTCATTTCGCAAACTGCATTGTGTGACCACACAAATGCAAAACTAAAAAGTAAAAAAAAGAATGTTAAGAGTATGAGGGTAGACAGGGAAGCGTGCACTGGAAACGAACAGAAGAGTGGTCACTGTACGTAAGCAATGAGGGAACAAGCATAAACAATAAGTTGACGTGTGAGCACGTACACGAGCCTTCATGTGTGTCGCGACTGAAAGGCAGGGAAGTAAGAGAGGCCCTCTGCACGCCCACACGGCAGAAGCGCGATGGAAAAAAAAAACGGGAGGAAAACCGGAAAAAAAAAACAAAAAAACGAGGAACGCTTCTTTTGAGAAACGAGAATGGGGACGGTGGTGACGTCTGCCTACATGTTTTTTGTGAGTTATGAATGGAGCGAAGACCAGAAATGCGCATTGTTTTTTGTTGTTTTTTTTTATCTATCCAGTTTTTTTTTTTTGGTTAATTTTGTTTGTTTCTTCGTTTTTAATTTCTTCCCACTACTTAAGGCGTTTCGCTTTTTTTTTTTTTGGATTGGATTGTTACGCGCCTCTGTGGGTAGTGTGTGATTCGCGATGTTTGGAAGCAGCAGCAGCCAAGCGAGGAATGTATTTGGGCATATTATTCTTGTCTCTCCGCCACTCGCTTCATTGCGTTCCAGCTGTGGGTGTCGAGGGTTGGGGTGGGGGGTGCGCAGGTTCCGTGAGGCAGTGCTTGTGTGCATGTCTCTCTTGAGAGCGGCTATTGAGCTTAAGAAGCAAAAAGAAAAAAAAAGGAAACAACACAATGCAGAAGCCCTTGGAGTAGCGTAAGTTGCTTCGACAAGGTTTGTGATTTACCGCCGCGATGGCGTACGTTTTTTCTTCGTGTTCTCATTGTCCAGTCCGTTTTTTTTTTTTTTACTTTCGGTTGTTTAGTTTTTGCCCTTCTTTTTTCCATTCTGCCGATGCACTTTTTATGCATTTGAAAAATATGTGACTTCGTGAGCGAGATGGTTTCTTGTCTCCGCACTCAGAAGAAGCACCATCATCATAGAAGAAATGAAGAAGAAGTGACTTCTTGCATTTTTGCGCCGAAACCCAACGGCGCCGTTGGGAAGATGTTAGTGTGTGTCAGTTGTTGTTTCAGCGAAACACAAGTTCTGTTGTGCATTCCGTCTCCCCAGTTGTACACTTGCCTGTGCATGAACCTTGCTTAAGGGCGTGGTCATGTGCATGAGAGGGGAGAACGGGAGAAGCAAAGAGGTAGTGTGACTGAACAAGCGACGTCCATGAATGGGCACTGTGTGAAGAAAGGAGCAACAAAATAAAAAAAAACTATGGAGGTGGGACAGGACAATGGTGACAATGGCATTGGATTGAAAGACTTAAAAAAAAAAAACATTTTACAAAGCTGATTTCTCTGCTTTATTTTTGTTTTTATGAATTACTTTTCTTTGTTGTTGGTAATATTTATTCATCTATTCTTTCGATGTATACTTATTCTCCAGGGGAGGTGCGTGTGTGTTTTGCCGCTTCTGTTTTTGTTTCTTATTATGGTGCCGGCTTGCTTGCCGTGCGGATGTATCACGTGTGTTTCCATGAGTGTGCGTGTGGGTGGGTTTGCCGGCACCCACCACTGCCTTCCATGTTTTTCACTCTCGCCATACTTTGCTCACGCATTTACAAATGGACTCTCTGCCTCGTGAACGTTTTTTCTTGCTTTTTTCTTCTTTGTGGTCACTGGACCGACGGAATTAAAAGGAAAACAAATATTTTCAAGGAGGGCGTCAACTGCGCCAGTGATTTTTTTCTTTTTCCCCCTGCGTGTGTGTGTGTGTGTGGCTTTGCGTGGTTACAGAGAGGCAAAGCAAAGACCAAGGTCAAAGACAAAAACGCAAAAACAGGGGCTGGTGGGAGTGGACATCACAAATTAGGGAATGCAGCCGTCAACAAACGTGTCTGCGCCAAACGTGACGACGTCAACGGCTGTTGGTTCGTCAGTGTCGCTGCCGAAGATGGTTGAACGCACGCTGTCACTGGCCAAAACGGTGGGCCGAAATGTATCACGGGCTGCCGCCAACAGCAGCATCGTCAACGATGGACGGCGGGCGCACATGAGCACCTGGGGTGCAAGGAGGCAGATGTGTGACGGGATGCATGGGGAACCAAGCGGAGAGAGCACGACAATGCAGGGATTTAACGAATGTCAGGCAGTGCAGGGTAAGGAATTCAATGGACTGTTGTCGCCACCTTTGTCTGGGAGCCTTAGGGGCGGCCACCTTCGGTCGTGGACGCCCTTTGCCGCGTGGTTTGTTGGCCTTCTTCTCTTCTCGGTGCTTGCGGCGGCGCTTACGTACCGCTTTCTGCGGTCAAGACGCTCGTGGCGTGATGATTATGAGGAACTCGTGGAGGAGGGTGGCCTGGAAACGGCGGAGATGGGCGACACCAGGGCGTCGAGTCGGCCGGATGGAAACGCCTCACGGCAACGTTTTCTGCAGTCGCGCCGGGCGGCTGCACAGAAGTCGTACGACACGGAGACGCCCACAAAGTAGGGAGAGTGTTTGGGGTGGGGCCTCGGAGGATAGGAAGAAACAACTAAATGCACAGGGCGAAAAGTGCAGACCGCATATTTTTATTCGACTGCACGGCCAGCGTAGTAGTGTGGCCTGTGTAGAGGCAACGGAGGCGCAGCAGTGCTGTGGTCCGGCGCTCCTTCCAGGAACGTCAACACTCGCAGGCTGCACAATCACAACGGTGAGCAATTGAAGGGCACGTGGCTCACTCCACCATTAATCGGTGGTACAGAAACAAAAAAAAATGGAATAGAGAGAATCACGAACGTATGCGGAATTTGTGCATTGGAGGGCAGCTGATTATTATTTTGCTTCTTCTTTTTTTTTTTGTTATTATTTTGCTTTTACGTGCATGTGTTGGGCTGCAGCACCAGCTGCGATAAGCGTGAAAGGCGGCACACGATTGTACCTTTCAAAGGGAGTTTGGACAAAAATAAGGTGCAGGAGGAGAGGTAGGCAGAATGGTAAGGGCTATCGTTTTTTTGCTACTGTGTCTTCAGTTGCACCTCTTCCTGCAGGTTGCCTCTGCGGAGACCAGCTATACCACGGCTGGGCTGCCGCGTGAAAAGCCCCATGGCCCAGGTTGGGGATACGCCAACCTGTCTGCGTGGCCAAGGTTGTGCCGAACAGGCAAACAGCAGAGCCCTGTCTCTTTCTCCGAGCTCAAACCGCATGAAGTGGTCTACCTTAAGGGCGCCGAACCGCTTATCTTCTCACGCGGATGCACGTTTGCGGCAGAGAAAACAACGCTTAAAATTTTAAACGAAGTTAATACTATATCTGTGCGCTTGGTTCCCCTTAATGACCCGCGTGATGAGGTCCCAGGCCCCTGCACTGTCCTCGACCCCATAGCCCCGGATTTGCCTGAATACCACCTTGTGTCAATGCATTTCCACTCACCCGCGGAACACGTCTTTCCACGCGCGGCCCCAGACGCGGAGCTGCACCTCGTATTTGCTCAGGCGCAACCATCGAAACTGGGGCGTCTTATGGTAGTTGCGGTGCAGCTTCTTGCATCGGACAGAACAAACACCACCTCGGTGGCAGAACTGCGCCACATCCTACTTGATGGCCCACTTCCCCCGAAGAACGCCTTTACGACATGTACTTTGGAGAAAGATCTCGCAGTTGAGGGACTACTACCACGACGCAGAAGTTTTCTCGCCTACACTGGATCACTGACTACACCCCCGTGTACTGAGGGGGTTCGCTTTATTGTCTTGACTTCCCCGCAGCTTATGCCAAGGGAAGCATTGGAGATGCTCAACCTGGCCTTGATGCGGGCTCGCTCAGGGAATCACGACGGTAATCGCAGACCAACACAGCCGCTGAATGGGCGCGTGGTGTACCGCTACGTTGATAGGAGTCACGTGCACATGTCCAAGGGAGACATGAAGGATTACTTCCCGTACGGGTTTTCAGATGCAGGAGTGTGGGGTAGTATAAATTTAACGACAGCAGCAACATCCGATGGGGTCGCCAGCTCACACCTCACTGCTCCTGGAGCCAACAACGCGTACGAATCACGGGGAAAATTTCATGCATGGCCCCGTTCATTGCAACAAAATGAAAAAACAATCATTATCGCTGCTGCACTTCTCCTTTTTCTCGTAGCAGTTATCTTGTACTGCTGGCGAAATATTAAGTTCAGTGCCGGGGTCGGGGAGAACGAGGTGGAATCGCTGCTGCGCGTGCCAAGCGGATACGGAACGAATCGTTAGGACGCTGGGCCACAAACATGACCGTCTCTTTGTCGAGGAAATTGGGTTTTGTTTCGTGTGTGATTTTCTCTCCCCATTTATGTCACCTTTGGTGTGAGCATAAGGTGGCGGCAAAGCAAAAAACAAAAATAATAATGGATTAGGCGTAAATGAAAGGACGATGAAAGAAGAGCACGACCACAAACCTTTTTAGACCAAGGCAAAGAAGGGAAAAAGGTAGGCAAAAGGTACCGACAGAGCATTTAGGAAGAGGAGAGATGAGGGATTGGGAGGGGGTGGGTGGGGAGAGTACGTATGTGTGTGTGTGAGAGAGCACGCTTCTCTTTCTCTCTCACTCTCACTCTCACTCTTTATGTGTAGGGCAATGTCGACCGACACCCTTGAATTTGTTTATTTTTTGTTTTTCGGTTTGTTGTCGCTATTTTGGATCATTATGCATCCCTGTCTCTATGCCTCTCTGCCTGTGCCTTTTGTTATCCATCAGTTGGCCTGGCCTTCGTATACGCTCAGCCGTGCGGCTCAGCTCACATGCATGCATTAACGGAAAAGGTGTAATTTATGTTTCTCCTTTTTTTTAATTTTCCACATCTTTTTGGTTTCCTGGGAACCATCTTCCTGCACTGAGACCCACTGGGTGCGAGTACTTACAGACTTGCACACGTACAGAGTGAGTGAGAGAGAGAGAGAAATAGGAGCAGGCTCTAGCATCGATACTACCATTATTGTCGCTGTCGTGGCACACATAGAGAGAAAGGTGAGAACACACACACACGCACAGTTAGGAAAAAGAGGAGATTAAGAGTGAGGGAAGAGTATCCATTGCCTTTTGTTGCTATCCTGCTTCTGCCCAAACATGGCCTTGTCCCACCTTCTTGCTGTCTGCAAGGACGCGGTGTGTGTTGCAGAGGATTACGGTGTTGCTTTTTATGCTCCAAAAAATTTAAAGAAATTTCGTGTGGAGTCACTCAGCGGGGCGCGTGTTGTTGGGTTGTATGTCTTGGCAAGCGCAAGTGGTGAAATGCACCTTCATGTCGTTGACGCGGAGGCCAATTGGTTTTTAATCTCTCTTGCCCATGTGGAGGTACGGGCATCTTCCTCCATTAAGTGGGGGCACGATTCTTTGCCGGAGCCTGAAAACAGGCCGGTCGTCTCAAATCGGCGAGGTTTGATTGACAGGAGCCGCAAACAGAGGGAGGGGGACATTTTGGAAGCCCACTTTCATGAGGCGGGAGGGGAACTTCATTGTGCCCTTCTCACAACCACTGGAGTCTACGAAGCGTCACTGCGGGACACGTCTTTGATAAGGGCAGAGCAGATAATATCTTTTTCAATTGCCTTGCGTGATTGCACCATGGCAACAGGAAGGTCGACTGGTCTGGTTCTTGTGGGTCAGCGAGGTGGGAAGTGGGCGCAGTACTCCCTCCATGGCAATCGTGATGTCCACAACCCCAGGCAGCTCTTGTTGCCTATAAGCATTCAGAGTTTAACCTGTAATCCAGTCCGCAACTCAGTGGCTGTGGGTGGCACACGCGGGGAACTGATAGTTTTTCCTTCTGTTACCGAAAGTCATCACTTCTCGGATCATTGGCATCATACCCCTTTGACCGCCTTACGATTTTCAGTAGACGGCAATTCGCTCTTCTCAGGGGCCAGGGAATCGGTGATGTTAGTGTGGAATATGTCTTCCTACGCCTATAAGAAGATTGGATGTAGCCTAGGACCAATTCGTTGTATTATGCCTTCTTCTTCGTGTGGCTCTCAACTTGTACTCGCCTGCGCAGAGTCAACGCTTGCCACGCTTGACCTGCTGCAGATGAGGGTGGAAAAGTTTATTGAGGGTGTTCAATGGTCAACAGGTGAGGCCTGCAGTGGACTCGTTGTGGGACGCTGGATGGGGCAAACTGCCGTGATTCTTACTGGTTTGCCCAATGTGTTGCGTGTGTGCGATCCCTTTACCCAGCAGTCACTCTATTCTCTTCATATTTCCTCTCAGATGGAGACTATTCCCATTCCCCCTCGGCATGGCATTCAACACGTGGGATTATTGAACGATAACCGGACGATTGTGACGTACGAAGAGTTTGCAGGTACGTCACTTTCTCCCCTGCTGCGCTTCTGGGCGTATGACACAGACAGCAAACAACATGTTGAGGTACAAGCCATTTACTCGCCGCACAGTAGTTGTGTGATTGCGCTACAAACCGATGAGGTGCGTAAACGCGTTTTTACGCTCTGTGCAAACACGATGAAGTGTTGGGGAGAGGTAAGTGAGGATGTGAATGACGCCTACGCCACAGGACAGAAGAGTTGGGTGAACAAATCCTCCTCGGCAACGCCATCGCATCTTGTACAAGATATGATTCTCTCCACGGATGGCTCGTTGTGCTTTGTCTCAGATGACAGTGTACATATATATAGTATAGCCAACGTCTATCCAGGTCAGCCTTGGCACCGCCTACTCACACTCACGCAGTTGTTTTCTTTGGAGCCTCTGAAGGAGCTGCAGCTGTTGAACGACAACCGAGTTGTGGTGGCTCATGATGAGACACGGGTGTATTTTTGGTCGCTAGTCGCACCCCATCAGCCTGCAGTCGTCTGGGAGGCGAATCCAGCCAGCGTGAGAGCGATGTGTTCCTGTTCGGCCACCTCTGTTTTGGTGGCGACCAGTGATGGAGGAGTTAGAGAACTGTGCGGTGTAGGGCAGCTGATGGGGGAACAGCTGAGCCAGCACGTCTCAGCGGTCATCCCGCAACGCATTACTTTCATGCGGTGTCTTCCGGGGGCGGGGAAGGAGCGGGTGGCGGTGGTAGATGAGGTCTCCGGCTTCCGTGTGCTGCACTTCGCGCTGGAAGCCACCAACACGAAGAAGGGAACAGAGGGGCAGGCTAAACAAGACGACATGTGGGTAGGGCAGGTTGAGGGAACCGGCGGTCTTGCGCCGAGTGTTGACGTCCACGAAAAGCAACTGGGGCACTTCTTCCACGACGTTGCTCATGCCAACAAGTCGTCGGACGTGGGGAGGGAAGCGTCGTCGCTTCGTGCAGCCCGTCTTGCGACAGAGGCAAAGAAGTGGCTCGGGGAAGTCCTGGCGGATTCCGCCTACACGGCACCGCCCATGAGCTCTGTTCTCTCATCATACCTCAAGAAGCGCTCTGGTATCCCAACACTGTGAGCACGTGCGGCTGCGGTGGGTATCCCCGAGCGAAAAGGACATGGAAACGGTGGAAAAGGCACGACAGGGAAAAATGAGCGGAGAGGCAAACCAAAAATGTACCGCGACGGGAAGGAGAAAGGGAAATTATGGGCACAACAACGTAAGAAAGGAAGAAGTAGAGGGAAAAAGAGGAAACACGTTTAAGGAATTTCCAGTTAACGAGGAGCGGGAAATAAAGGAGAGGATCCAGCTGTTAATGCAAACTGGCGTACAGTTTGGCTGAAGTGCCACATTTTTATTGTATTCACTTGTGTGTACGTGTGTTTGCTTATTTGTTTGTTTGTTTTTAGCTTTACTCCTGCCATTCTGGTCGCTGCACTTACCCGTTTTTTTTTTTTTTCTGTGTGTTCTTGCTGCTGCCCATTTGCGGCGTGTATCGGAGCGGAACAAGTTAGTAACGATCATCGGATGCAGCATGCGGCGACTTTAGAGGAGGAGGATGAGATCCTGCAAATACTTCGAGGTTGCTCAGTACACTTGCAGTACTTCAGCAATGCTCAGCGCTGCACGCCGACCAAGCTTCAGCAGCAGCAGTTTTCTCAACGGCTGTTGTTGCTCTATTTTTCCCTTGTGGGACGCGATCTGCTTGGGGAGAATTTGACGAACGACCATGAGTTCTCGAACACGGAGAGGCGCAACGTGTTTGAGGAGATGCGTCTTTGCTACAACACTGAAACTGGAGGATTTCATCCGGTGCCTGTAGACCAGTACGCCACAGGTGCCACATTGGCCATGACGCACTGTGCGCTTCACATGTTAAACCTCGTCGGCCTCCTTCCCGAGGCCACCAAGAAGTGGCTTTGCAGAGAGAACGTTATGTCTTTTGTGACGTCATGCCAAGTTGGGTCCGAGCGTTCTCTCTTTGGGGAGTCCTTTCGAGGCGCTTTTCAGGCGGCTCCGGGTATTGCAGAGGTGGATCTTAGATTTACCTACTCCGCTCTTGTTTCCATGGCGCTGTTATGCTCACCGTCGCCACTCGCTGCTGTGCCATCACTACAGAACACCCTCCAGGGGGCCGTCGCCTTCATTTGGCGTTGTTGGAACCCACACGAGGGTGGATTTGGAGCGGTACCTGGCGCGGAATCACATGGAGGAATGACTTTTTGCGCGGTGGCATCGCTGACGTTGGCTGGCGCAATTTCGTCTTTAACGCGGAGACGCCGTCGCTTACTGGTACGCTATTGTACCGCTCGCCTTTCGGGGGGGCCTGACGATCATGAGGTTGTTGGCTGTGTGGGGGTCCGTGTACCAGTTGTTGGGTATCAAGGGAGACCCCAGAAGGACTGTGACACCTGTTATGCACACTGGATCGGCTCCACTCTTCGCATTCTCCAAGCTCACGATAACTCCGTGTTTCCCGTGGATGTTCTTCCTGTCCTTAGGTTCATTGATGCCTGCGTTGATTCCCGTCACGGTGGCATGTGCAAGACCCTTGGTATGGGTCCAGATATTGTCCACGCATGTCTGGGGTTATCGGGTCTTCTTCTACATGTTGATTCTCGTTGTTTATCGAAGCTGCTACCGCCACATCCCGTGTACGGTTGTTCCTGGTTTACTGTGCGAAACACTGGATTGCCTGAACTTTTGTGTCCTCCCACAAGCGCATTGTAGCGTTAGCGGTATTTTTAATGGGCGGATGAGCTACATTTTTTTTTTTTGTAAACTGTATGTATGCAGCGTTGGATAAACGTTTGAGAAACAGTTTGCCGTCTCATGTTTTGGCCTCAGGGAGGCAGTGCGGGGGATGAATAATCTGCACGTCTGCAAGGCTCTGTCTTGTCTCGAATGACTGCCACTCTCATCGGTGTATCATATAGGGGATTTTGCTGCGTCAGTTGCCTTCCCCCTCCACGCACACGCACACACCTTTTTTTGTTTTTTTTTGTTTTAGCTTTTAACGTCTAATGTTTCTTTTTTGTTGAGGTTTCACGATGACGGAATGAACATTATCCTCTCATGCAGGGCGTCTGAACTAGGCTCAGTGAAGTCGTTTTTTGGGGTGAAGCGACTGCTCGCGTCTGCTGTTGTGTGTGCCGCTGAATCTACTGCTTATTGTGTCACTCAAGTCGAATCCGCCTTGAAGAACTGTGGATGCCGTACCCATGGGGGTGGTGGAAATGCGGTGGAGTATAACGTGGAGATTGTGACCATTGGTGTCGATAACGTTGTGTTGGAGGAGCTCTTGTCGAACAGCGTGTCTCGCCAAGTTGTGTGTGCGTGCCTCTGTGGGGTAGCTTTGGTGGCGGCATCGTTGGTGATCTTTCTGGCCCATTGTGATGTTCGGCAGAGCGGGGTTGGCGTTACAGTGCGATCGTTTATGCAGGCCACAGGCTGTGGGGGCGTGTGTCCATTCCCAGCGCCGCCGAGTACAACCAACTAGTAGTTGTGGTGACAGGCAGCCCCGTCCTTCTGCCGTGCCGCCCGCTTTTCCTCCTCGCTCCAGCGGCTGAGCCTTCAACGAGGGCAAGCATTTTATGCGGTGAATATGTGGTGGTTGCAGACGACACGTGCTCAATTGTTTGCTTTTGCTGTGGTGGTGCGTGACGCATGACGATTTTCTCCTCATCGCGTTGCGGTTTTCTCCGTGCGTGACACGAGTGAGTTGCAGCAGCGGATGCCTCCATCGAAATTATATGTGATGTCTCCACTTCCCTCGACGCGCAGGTTGCGGAACGCCCTGCTCCGACGGAGAGGGAAGTGTTAGCGGGGGAGTTGCAGGTCGTTTATGACGACGTCGAGGCAACTCATGCGGCCTTGTAGCAGCAACAAGGAAGGAATGAGACGGTGGAAAGGACGACGCTTTGCTTGCTGTGAGAAGTAGCCTTCTATTTCATGGGAACATGAGTGAGGTGTTTTATTTTGGTTTATTATTATTATTATTATTATTTTGCCCCAAAGCTCTGCCCTGTTAAAGATAGCTTCATAGAGCGTGCGGGAGTTGCAATAGAGGTTTCATGGGCGATGCGGGCGATGTGAATCAGATGCTCTTGGCAGCGTCCACCGCCTCAGCAGAAGGTGTGAAGGCTAGCGAGCGGTGGTTGCTGGGGGCCAAGAAGCGTGGAGACAGCGCGGCATCCAAAACGACACGTAAAAAGGCAAGGACGGAGGTGCACACGCACACTGAGACGGACGTGGGTGACAAGCCAGCAGAAAACAACGGTGGAGGTAGCGGGGCTCGTGAGGGCAATAAAGAAATAAGTGCAGGTCATGACATCTCTGCGCCGGAGGCGCTTGTACATCGGCTGATAACATACGTCTTTGAGAAGTGCCTAGGCGGCCGTCACAACGCTTCTCGTGGCGACGAAGCGGATTTTGAACCACCACCGCGTGCCGCTCTTTTTGCAGAGAGCTCTGCCATGCGCCCGGCGGCGGCATTTGCGATTCATCATGCGGTGTACGGTGGAAGCAGCATGACGCAGAGTGAAAGGGTGGCGGAGGCAATTCTGCAACACCGGAGGAGGTTGCACGTATGCAGCTACGATAGAGATCTTGTCGGTGGATTTATTGATGGTAAACCGTTCCACACGAGGCGGCACCTACTCTCGTTGGTAACTAAAGGGCTTAGAGGCGAAAGCATGACTAAACCGCCGCAGATCTGCAGGGGTGCTGAGGCGAAAGAGGAAAAGAAGCAGGAGGCAGTTGTGTTGTTTGGTGATGCAAAAGGTAAGAGTCTCAGCAGTTTTCTGCAGGATTCATCTTCCTCTTCGTCTGACGGCGAGGAGGATAGTTGAGTGGCGGGTTGGCGACGTCGCAGGTGTGTTTGCTCTTTCCACTGTGATGTATTTATCTGTTTTGGCGAGAGGGAAGCAGGCGTCTGTCACGGCGATTGAATGAGATGGGAAGTGGGCGCAGGAAAGAAGGGCGGGTTTGCCGTCAGGCTTTTTTTTGCTTTGCACGTTTCATCTCTCTTTATTTTCCTTTATTACTCTTTTTCTTTTGTGTTTCTCACTTCGCGCTGGAAGCTGAAGGGCAGAGGCATGATTGGCTGCCCGCCCCATTTGTGAGTAACACCGCAGGGACGAGAGGACCGTCAGTGTATGCGCCACGATTTGTATCTGATGATGTTTTTTGTTTTGTTATATATATATATATATATATTATCGTTAGTTGTTCTTGACTATTACTTTTATTTATCTGGCGGGTGGCTCAGAAATTAGAAGGCAATTTGCTTTTCTAGATGTCTTGCTCTTCTAGTCGGATGAGCGTGCCAAAACCAGAAGCAGGTGAACGGTTAAATGCATCGGGTCAGGCGGGGCCCACGCGTGCCGTCATGCAGTACCGCCTTGGCAGCAACATCGAGATGGAGGGAAAGGTGCGCGGCGGCAAGGTCGTTATTGGGCGTCTGCGGATATTTTGTCGGTTTACGGCTGGCCTCGCCTTCGTCGGGAGCCCCATGTTTCCCAGTGACGTGGTGCTGAGAAGCGTGGAGAACAGGAAGCAGGCGCTCCATGGCGACATTGTGGCAGTGCAACTGTTGTCTGAAGAGAACTGGCCAGCCCTCGACGACGTGGAGGATGACGGGCAGCTGGATGACGTCAGTCATGACAGTCTCGGTGCCAAAGAAGTCATGCCTGAAAACCTTCCGGATGGCCGCTCGATCACGCGGTGGGTGCAAGACGCCACGCGTCCCGATGAATCTTTCCCTGAGTGTCAATGGGCAAAACGGATGTCGGCGCCCGCTCTGCATGACTGGGGCGGCAGGAAGCCCTTTGGGGTGGTGGTGGCTGTGCTCGAGCGCAGTTGCCCATTGCATGTGGTGGCACGTCTCTGCGACGATGCCTTGCAACCCAACGAGGCTGTGAAGAGTAATCGTTACTATCAATTCAAATGCTTCGATCCGCTGTTGCCCAACATTGCAGTTTTTGGGCGAGACATTCCAGTGTTGCTGCACGCAAGGCTGCAAAAGACTTTTTTTTTACTGCGCCTTGTGACACGCGGCGACGGGGACTTTTTTTGGACAGCCTGGAAGTTCCTTACGGGCAAAATTGTAAGAGTGCTCGGCGAGGTGGATTCGATACAAGCCAATAGTTTTGCGTTGTGTAACGCGTGTGAAATTTCTATGGATGACTTTTCAGAGGAGGCGTACGCCTGCGTGCCCGAAACGTTTTCTGTGCCAGACAAGCAAACTTTGCTGCGTTTGGGACGGCGTGATCTTCGCGAGGAGGAGTTTGTCTGCAGTATCGACCCGGCCACCGCACGGGACTTGGATGATGCTCTGAGTATTGACCGCACACCTGGTGGGTATCGTGTGGGGGTGCATATTGCGGATGTCTCCTACTTTGTTCCCGCGTCGTCCCCGTTGGACGAAGAGGCGTGTGAGCGTTCGACTAGCGTGTACCTGGTGGAGAAGGTGATCCCCATGCTGCCGCGCAAGCTCAGTGAGGACTTCTGCAGCTTGAACCCTAGTGGCGATAAATTTGCATTTTCGTGTCTATTTCACCTTGATCACCACGGCAAGGTGACATCCGAGTGGTTCGGCCAGAGTGTTATACGTAACCGCTGCCGTTTGACCTACGAGGACGCACAGCGCATTCTCGACGGTGACGCAACTGTGTTTGACACACTTGACTTCGGTGATGCGACGGATGTGCAGCGCCTTCGAGAACGTGTTGAACTCTCCATCCGAACACTATTTGAGCTTGCGTCAAAGTTGCGTATGTCCAGCTTGCGCCGCGGCCGTCTGACAATTGGAAATATGAAGATTCGATACCAATTTGAGGACATTGCGAATCCTACCTTTCCTCAGGGATTTGACATTTCACGACAGATCGAGGCCAATTGGCTTGTGGAAGAGTTTATGCTACTGGCCAATGCGCGTGTTGCGGAGAAGATTGTGGAGTACATGCCGGACCAGGCGCTACTGCGACAACACGAGCCACCTGATCGTGAACGCGTCGCGACTCTGAAGGCAACATTAGGCCGTTTGGGTCTGGAGATGCAAGGTGGCTCGAGCAAGTCGCTGCAGGAGATGCTTGACAACGCGAAGAATAGTGAGTTCTACGACGACTTTTGTGTTGCGCTGAAGTATGTGTTACAGCAGGCGAAATATTTTGTGAACGGCTGTGAGGAGACGGAGGCGTACAGGGGCCACTATGCGCTTGCAATGCCGTGGTACACGCATTTTACATCCCCCATCCGTCGCTACTCTGATATTATTGTCCACCGTCAGTTGTTGTGTGCTTTGGAAATTGAGTCCATCGTGAAGGGAATCAGAGTGGGGCAGAACGGCCGTTGCCGGCCCGTGCAGCCTGGTAGCGTCAACCCCAATCAACTCTCTACCCGAGACTATTTTTACCCCGTCAGCGAGGTGGAGAACATTGTGGTCAAGGCCAATGTAAAGAAACTAATGGCCCGTCAAGTAAGCGATGCCTCGCTAGGTATATTCTTCTGCTATTACCTCAAGGCGCTCAAGCGAGTCATGGATGCGAGCGGCAACGCGGAAGGGGCTCCCTTCGCCCCACGCGTGCAGGCAGTGGTGGTGCGAGTCGTGGCGAAGAACAGCACCTTCACCCTCTTTGCGAAGGAGGTGGCACAGGAAGGGCAGATCAGTTTAAAAGACAAGGAGCAACGCTTCAAAAGCGATAAACCCGTGGACGACGCCGCGGATAATAGTGAAGAGAAGAAGGATAAAAAAAAGAAGCGGGTTGAGGCAGAAGCGGCCCAAACTGCAGGCAGCCTTAGCATTAACTGGGGACCGCATCCCGTGACAGGTGATGAGGTTGTGGAGGAGGTGCTGCCGATGACGGCAATGACCGCTGTGCTGACTATCAGAAAACAGAAGGGCTACGAAGAGCTTAAAATGATTGTTGATCCCCCGTGGGAAAGGAAATGGGATGCTGCCTCGATTCCTAAAACACTTCTTAGTTGTTGATGCTAATTAGCTGTCTCGCTGTCTATACATGACCCTTACTTTAACGTTTGCACACATGGAGAGGGAGGAGAGAGAGAGAGATGCATGGACACATTTTGTCACCTCGGCCCAGTTGAGTTCTGAGTATTATTATTATTATTTATTTTCCTCATGTTGCTATTATTGTCACTTACTACCGGACTTTACATATCAAATTTGTTCATCCTTTTTTTTTTTGCCGGATAACTACCCTTCGTTGTTGCTGTTGCTTTTTTTTTTTTTTTTGTATGCCCGTTGCTGTTGCCTTTGCCACGCAGAAAACTGGCATACACACACACACACGACAGCGACGACGACGCCAGATATACGAATCATTGATGTCGACACGGAAGAAGTCAAGGGAGCAGCATTTATCTGTTTCGGCTACAGAGGAGAATGGGGCTGTACAGGCGATCCATGCCGACACGCTGCTGCCTGCCGTTCGAAACCTAAGTCTTCATTGCAAAGAAATTGCTTTTCGTCCTGCGCATAGTCGGCTCGTTAACCTCAATTGCTTGCGACCACATGGTGCTCTGCAGGAAAGTGAACTCCGTGGCCAGAAGAACTCGTCCAAGGTTCCAGAAACGCTCTTGAATGACATCGTGGCAATGGTCAATGATTCCCAGAGACTTCTTCGCCGGAGTCCGGACTTCCATCTTGGAGCGAATTCTACGGAGGCTGAGGAGTTATTACGTGCCAATGCTTTTCGGCTCAAGTGGCTCGGCACTGTAGCGAAAACCTGCGACAGTGCGGTGGCGTATCCATTTACTGAATTTTGCTTCATAGGTCCTCTGCCCCAAAATTGGTCAAACGCCACTCTCCCAGCTGACGAAGGAGGCCAGAGATGTATTCGAACGGCTGAGACTATACAACGTATCCTGCGGGTTTTCGCTACCGCCTCCAACAGTAGTCAATGTCAGCTGCAACAACTTCTCTTTCACGTTGTGCGAAACGAAAGAAGTTCCGTGGAGGGGTTGGTGTCGGTCAACTACAACAGCCGGCATATTACCGTTTGCTGTGGGCTCTACTATTATCGCGTGGATGTGCTGGATACGGATGGATTTATCGTTGATGTAGAGACTCTTGCAGAACGTCTGCGGACGGTTCGGGAGCACGCAAACCGCACCGAAACGACACTTTTTGATCACAAACTGTTACTCGACGCCCGAGAGGACTTGAACACGTTCTACCAGCTTCTGGGTAGCCTCACAGAGATTGATCGCACGGAATGCGCTGCGGTCTTGGAACGACTGAAGAACACCGATCCTGCCAATGCGGCTTCTCTCACTTACATTGACACTGGGATTTTTACAGTGGTTCTCCAAAGTCTGGGCAATGAGGTCGCTTCAGCTCGATGGTACCGAAGTGCCCTTGTACTTGAGGAGAGGAAGGAGACGGGTGTGCTGGCGATGCGTGGACACTCCATTTTGATCCACGGTGATGATCTTATGGACTTCCTCATGCAAGTCCTTTCCTGGGACAATGCGTCTCACGGATTAAGCAAGAGCGGGGGTGAATCCTTCGGCACAGGGCAAGCTCCTACTAGTGATGGCATCCTGCCACCAGGTGTGGAGCACTTGGATTTATGGCTGCAGTGGAAGCACCGTAAACCTATGCGACCCTACGCGGTGGTCAAACTCTCCCCACCTGTGTTTCCGCTTTCTATTCCACAGGAGACGGATATCTCTTTTGTATATATTTGCATGTCCGCTGTTCTCGCGGTGCAACAGGTTTTAACATGCTGTACAGAATTTCCGACAGTTTTAGTGGCTTTTCCGAACCAGAGGGGAGGTCTTTCGGCGGCGTTGATGTATTCGTACGAAATTGAGGCCTTTATTCGTTCCCTGCGCTGTGGATCTGTACTGGTGGAGCGGCATACCAAAACGCATTTAGCTCTTAAGGCTTTACAGAGCCTGGCTGAAATCATTGATGACTGTTTTCATGAAACCTACCCCATCTATTCCTTGGCGAAGTTGCTCCTTGCGGAGGGAAAGGCCACTACAACAGAAGCTTGCATGGATAACGCCATTTTGGGCACGGTGGATCTTCATGTTACAGTTGGTATGCTGGGCTCAGGCAAGAAGGTGTTGGGTTGTGAAACATGTCTGCTCTTGCCTTCACGGTTTTCGCTCACCTGTGGTGCAGTGGGATCTATTTCACGGGAGTCACCTTTGCAAGGACCCTCAGGTGCCACTTTGACGTGTGCCTCGCTGAGGGTAGCTGAAACCGATGAGGATTCCACTATGGGGGCACAACTAGCGGCATGCATTACGGAGAAGACTCACGAGTTGCTGTCGCTAGTTCCCAATGTAAACCCAAACTAGTATTGTATGTTATTTGTGTTGCTTTTGTCTTATAGAGGGGATTTGTGTGGATATGGGCATGTACAAAAGTCTTATCCGCACCATAAGCTGTATTTTACCCCTATATCTCCGCCACCAAATTTGTTCATACCGAGGCAGGAAAGGACCTGTGCCTTTCATGCCACTCCAGGGTAATGTTATTTTTCTTCTTTGTTTTTTTTTTCTCTTAATGTTGGCGTGCGTCAGTTGCGGTTGTTTTTTTTTTTTTTTCTATGGCTCTAAATTCCTTCTTTTTCCGTTTTTGCTCTTTGACAGTGGTGTTGCGTTGCTCACCAAAAGGTAAAGTGATAGGGGCCTGTTGTTGCGTGGGAGAGATTGAAAGAGGTGGTGCGTGGCGGACGGTTGCTCGTGTGGTCATGTCGCCCTCGCCGTCTGCGAACTCCACACTGCTGGCGGGGAGCAAGAACCTCTCAGTTGCTGTGGAGGGTTCTAAGTTGTTTATCTACAGCGATCTCTCACAAGATTTTGGTGTGAGCTCCTCTGGGAAGAGTCTTATCATTGCCAGTTCTAGTGGCAACAAGCCCCTTGGCGCCACAAATGCTTTTTTGGGTCTCAATTTGTACTGTAAAAGCGCAGAGAAGCGCATGCTGACGAAGGATGCAACCTCAGAATTGCACGAGATGACCGCAATGGGAAACTACTGCGAGTGGCGCATTGAAGGACAGACGCTCTGTATAATGATCGACTTCAACAATGTTGGTGACAAAGTGGCCACGACGGGCAAGTCTGTGTTGCTTGCTTCCTCTGGAGGAAACAAGGCGGTCGGGAAAACAGGAATAATGTGCGGGCTAAACTGTTATGTGCCGCTTGGCAAGGAGTTCTGCATTGAGAAGCTTTCAACGGTTGTTGAGCGTTCCACTGTTGCAGTAGGAGATGCGGTGAATGTGGGCGACGGTTTTGTCGTTGAGGTGGAAAGCAGGACGCAGGTCACCGTGCACTGTGAGAGTGAGAAACCAAAGGCGGGGGTGGTGATCGCCATGCCCCCCTTTACGCTTAACGGCGAGGTGACTCTCGCGATGATGGTGAAGTGGGTTGACAAAAAACGAAGAACCCAGGGGGGGTCGTCAGAGCACACGGAGGAGGGATTTGTCGCCGTATCTTCTAAGTGGAAAAACATTTTGCTGCGACGCGGGGTAGTGAAGAAGGGGGAGGACGGTGGCGGTAATATCGATCTCCATCTTCGCTTCGATCCCACGCAGAGCTTTGGTCGCTCCACCTCGGGTAAATCCATGACAGTGGCAACCTCTGCTGGCTGGAGTGATGTTGGTGATGGAATATTCATTAGTTTTAATGCGTACAGGCCGGCCCCGCAGTTGGCTCATGCGGAGATCAAGGATGCAGTGCAGAAGGTACTTGGGCAGCGAAGCAAGGAGGAGCTATCCTCTCTTTCTTTCAAGACAATTAAGGGGGAGGTGGAGGCAGTGTTGGGGTTGAAGGAAAATGACCTGGGAGACTTGCAAAAACAGGTGAAAGAGGCCGTGGCAGAGCACATGGAAAGCTTGGTGTCGTCTGACCAGTTTATGCTAATCAAGACTGCCGTGGATGAAGTGCTTGGTGGGCGCTCGCGGGAGGAGGTGGCGACGCTTTCTCTGAAGACGGTTGTGGCGGAGGTTTCCTCAGCGTTGGGAACGGCGCACGGGGAGCTGGAAGATATTAAGGAGCATGTCAAGGCTGCCGTTATCATGTATCTCCGGCGCAATGTTAAATAAATATGGAAGAGCAAAGGGGGAAAAAAAAGAGGGGTTTGAGATTGCGAGAAGTAACGAAGTTAAATAGTGTGTGTGTGTGTGAGAGAGAGAAAAAAAAAAAAGTAAGCCCATGTGCTTTCAATTTATGGGGAAAGGGAAACAATGATCCAGTTGGGATCGTTGTGTGTTCGCTGCTCCCCTCACCGAGTGGGGGCGTCGCTGGAGGGCCGGCCCCTCGCCCCTTCGTCTTGGCACTTTTGCGCTCAGCGTACTGGACGCCTGTCACTGGCGAGGTTGTAATGCTCTTCTCACACCTTTTTTGTCTTTTCTAGTGCCTCCTTTTGAGGACGCTTCTCTTCCAGCGTACAGCGATCGCCTCTTCTGCGTATCGCTTTCACCTCGCTCGGAGGGACGAAGGAGAGAGGAGGAAGAGGAGGTGTAGCAACCAATAATAAACAACACAAAAAAGAAAAGGATCAATGCGCAGCACAGCAGAAAAACTAGACGAGGTGGCGGACGTTCCAGGTGGGATCAATGTTAAGTATATTCTTCGTGGCGCGAAGACTCTGAGGCTGATCGTCAACTTGGCCCCTAATGGAAACAACCACAGGGTGGCGAGAGTCAGCGGCGCACACATTGGGGATCTTCCAGTGACGTTAGAGCTTAAAGTCATCCACTTTTCGGGGATGGCGGATGCGAAGTTTCTGGAACTGGCAAGGGCACTAAAGGAATTGACAGATGCGGGCCCGAACACCAAGTGGGTTGTGGATGGAAAGTTACTAATCTTGGTGATTGACTTGTCTGAGGGGCCAAAAATGAGCCGCGAGCATGCGCCGGGACAGAAATTTGAATTTGCCTCTATTAAGGCGAATTCGCAGCTGGGCCCATCAGATTTTCGTGTGCAAATGAAATTACACTCCGTCGGGGGTGAGCCGTGGCCGTTGCTCCTGTCGCCACGAGGTCTGGCCAGTGTGGCGGATGACGCCTCCTCCGCCAGCATTGTTGCGAGAAGGTTGGAATATAGTCCATCTGTTTCAGTGCCACGATTGGTGGATTCACATGAAATGCACACTGGCATGGTGGAGCTTGATGAATGCATCACGTTGGATTTCTTGAATTTGCCTCTCTTGAGGCTGCGGCTCAATGTGGACGGCAAGGATGGGCAGGTAGTGGGCTTCACTGGAGACATCCTCTCAGGAATCGGTATTAGTTTGAAGGTGCAGATCTATAGGGAGACAGACTCGCCAGTACTTTCGCGTCGCGCAGGGAAAAGGGAGAACATAAACGCCTACAAGGAGGAAACCTCCACAGGAAAGAATCTTCTAGTGGTGGAGTTTGACTCTTCCAAAGGGAATCTTGACCCAGATGGAAAGCCTAGGCGCAATATTAGTAACGCCACTCACCTCGTCGTCAATAAGCGGTATGTTGTGGATTTCACAGCCACTGCCCCCACTGAAATACTGCCAACCTTCCCAGAGGTGTATCAAAGTGTCCTCAATTATCTTAGCTTGACAAAAAATCCTTTGCTTACCTTGAGCATGCCTGCAGTGCGCGAGGCGGTTGGAAGTGATTTTCCAAGATGTAACATGTCAAGAGCATTGAAGAATCTTGTGTGGGAGGCCGTGCGCTGGTACGTTCTTCAGGAGTATATACACCAAGAACGTCTCGAAAATGAGATTTTCCCAGTGACTATAGGCGTAGTGTAGAAGGAGTTTGAGGTGGCGGAAGGAACAGAAGAGGGTCTGCTTCCTTCAAGTATGTGAAAGAGGTGTGGTTCAACAAACCATTGTAAATGAAAAATTGATATGGAGAAAATAATAATTTTCTTCTTGGTGTTTGTGTGAGTGTGTGGTTTTGTTTGCTGCTTTATCACTGATAAAGGGAAGAATGATACCTCATTTGAAGGTGGTGCATGCGAGCTCTCTCTCTCTCTCTCTCTCTCAGTGAGCGTGTGTCTGTGAGTGTATTGAACTTGGAGACTGTGTTCACTCTCGTTACGTGTGCAGCAGGGACCGCATGAGTGCAAGTTTGTTAGGCCCGTTTGGGAAACGCTAGATGCAGGCGGGTTTGGCGATGTTGCATGTGTGTGTGTGTGTGTGTGTGTGCATGTGTATTTCTCTTTCTTATAACTACCGCTGCTTTTCTGCTTTTGTTGATGCGGAAGATATATCGTTCCTTGGAGAGTCTGCGTTTGCTGCTCGGCTGTCACTTTGGCTTTTCCTCGGTTTGTAGCGGTTCGACTGGTGGCGTTGGCTCTCCTGTCACCGAAGCGGTGCCGCACTCTTGTCACTTCACAGCGCAGCACAATAAAGTCTACAAATACGCACCTACGGTCACCAATTTAACGCCCACTTTATGACGAGTTCGACACTGCGAATGAGTGGGGACGTTGTGCAGCAGACCCAGGAAGGACATCGATGTGGCAATGGGGGAGGAGAAACCGAGGCAAATTCTATCGAGAAACCAACCTTGCGCTGTCCGGAGTGTCTAAATGTTTTCTATACATGGTCAAGACTTACTGCACACTTGAACGCCTCCGCCCACTTTTCCGCGAGGTGTGTAACGTGCGGAGAGCAACTGCGCTGCTACGGGCCCACACACCCGTATCGGCATGAAGCCGCAACTGGGCACTTTGGTTTTATTGGCACATTTTACATTCGTATTGATTACCGGTTGGATCATCCTCCTGTGCTTTCCCACCCACAGTATCGTTGTGTGTGTCGCGTGACCTTCCTCTGCCCCCTGCAGCTTGCACTTCACTTACGTATGGACCACGGTGTGACAGTGATCCCCAACGTCGCCGTATGCCGCACGTGTAACATTCATGGGTCTCTTACCGAGTTGGCAGCGCACAGGATGGAGCGGTTGGTGCTCAAAGAAGATGATGTGATTGAAGTTCCCGGGTTTTCTCCTGCCCCGTATCTGGTGCGTTGGCCAAGGCTGCCACCATGGCCTGTTCAGATAAAACCTTATGCTGTCCTTTATCAGTGTCCTATCTGCATCTTGGTTTTTTCCTCGTGGGATGCCATGGAGAATCACATCGAGACGAATAGTGTTTGCCAATGCATGTTGGACACGATTGGTGCTCGTTCCGAAAATACATCACACGCCGCTGGTGGTCATCGCTTCTCACAAGAGGAGTTTGAGGTTCTCTTGGACACAAGTGAGTCGGAACTCTTGTCACTGCTGCAGCGGGGTTTGCAACAACAAACTTGTGACTCGGATCAGGTTGAGGATCTTATGCTGGTGTTTCAGTGTCCAGAGGAAGCCTGCTCCCGTATTTTTCTTACGCACGGCGAACTGCAGGAGCATATGGAACAGCACGCCCACTTCCCTGTTACACCCAAAGAGAAAACGGACGGTGTGATCCAAAGTGGAGTCTCCTGGAAGTGGAATATCTCTGACTACGAGGTGATGTGTTCGGCGAGGCGTCTGGTCGAGGAATTTGGTTTGTCAAGATGCTCCCTCTGCTCCCGGGTGGTGTCGCACGGCCTGGAGACTCACAACCAGTTATTTCACCCGACAGCGTAGTCATCTTAAAACATTTTTTTTTTTTTTTTCACTGTTGAAGGGAGAGGCACTGGCGGCGGGGCTGGCGAAATTGATTCACCAACGTGAGTCAACAGCAAAGCAAGTGAGCCTAATGAAAATGATGCTTAAAGACGAACGAGAAGTCGCAAGGAAAGAAGGAAAACGAGCGACAAAAAAAATATAACTTCACAGGTGCCCTCCCTTCCCCCCCCCCCCCCCCCTCGTGTCGTTTTTGTTGTTGTGTGTGGTTGGATGTTGTAGTTGAGCATCTTTGCGTTGAGGGATTTTTATCTGTCGCATCGGAACCGAGTCCGGGTGGGTGGGACAACAAGGGAAAGATAAAGGTGGTAAAATAAAAACGAAGGGGGGAAAAAAGAAAGGAGGTGCATTGGCTTCGTCTGCAATATGGCGTATGACAACTTCTTCCGCTATGGGAAAGGGGTTTTCTCCTCTGGCACTCTCCGTGCATGGCCCATGACCCATCACACTAATATGTTGGAGGAAGAATGATTATTTTTTTATTTATTTATTTATTTATTTTATTTTTTTTTTTGGGGGTGTATGTAAGCGCATTTTGTTTATTGTTTTGCAATAGGTGTTTTTGTTCTCGTGTGTTTGTTTACCATTTTTGCTTTTATTTTATATTTTTATTTATTGTTCTTCGTATTTATGAGCGAGTATACATCTATTTTTTTTTTTTCTTCTCTGTGTGTGTGTGTGTGTGTGTGTGACTTTATCTTCGTGTGAGTGTGTTGCTTTGTGATGTGTGTGTGGTTTGTTCTTCTTTACGGTTATTCTGCACCGTCGCGTGCCGCAAGTAACTGACGTGTTTTATTCGTATTCCATCTCCCTCCATGTTTTGTGCATCTATCGTGGTGTGAGACAATTGCTGTGCGTCGTCTCTTTGTTTACGACGACTCTGTGTGCATACCAAAGTGGATTTCTTAGGCGGCGGTTGGCTTAGATCCAACAGCACTGTGCGTGCATATGTTATGCGGATGGGTATCCTGCATATCATCTATGTGCATGCCTTGAGGGTTGTTTTTTTTTTTTCTTGTTCGTCCTCATCTTCCGTGTTCCTCCACCCCCACCACTACTAATGATCATCATATTTGGTAACAACATAAGTTGTTTTCGTTGTTGTCCCTTCACTTTTTTGGCTGGCTAGTTGGACTGTCTTCACCTTTTTTTTTTTTATTATATTTTATTTTTTACTGCCGCTGCCCATCGGCGACCTTCGCGTGTTTGACTCCTAACGGGATGGGGCACGCCGAGCCTGTGTGATGCTCCCGGGCTATCGCTTCATCTGCGTTACATGTGGCATTGAGGTCCATGTGGGCTTGTGAGCAATGCAAACTCTGTCAGTCCTTGTTTTTTTTGTTTTTGTTTTTTTGTTTGGTGAGTGCTTGTGTTTGCTACTAATTGGCATTGGCCCTGTTAGTTTTCCCTCAGTTCTCCCCATCTGCGGCAGACGTCTCGCTCCCTACCAAGTGATGCTGCCGGGAATGCGTGTTCTTGCACTGTGCAGAGCGACTAGGGACCTAATCATGGCAAAGCATTTAGAGGTGAAGGGATCAAAAGAAAAACGAAGAGAAACGGCTGGAAGGGACGGTCAAAGATGCTTTTGGTCTACTTATGCCTGCCGCGCTGCACTTTTAAATTGTATGTATGTATATATACATAAATATCTCTTTACGCGTCTCTCCTTTTTTTCTTTTTGTGTGTGTGTGTGATTGTGGTGTCGCCTGATACTGTTGTGTATACAAAACGAGGTATTTGGCTTCTGATGATTTTTTTTTCTTGTGTGTGTTGTGTGTACTTGCTTCGTTTTTTTTTTCTTTGTGCTCTCTCTATATGCAGGATCCCTTTTTTTTTTTTTGTCCACACGCCTGCGTACATACGTACCGTGTCTTCACCTCGCTCTCCCTTCTAGGGTCATGGATGCCCGTTTGTTTGTGGTGTCTTTTTTTTTGTTTGATGTTTATGTCTTTATTTATTTATTTTCGTGTTTCTCGCCGAAGTTGTGTGTGTGTGTGCCCATCGTACATGCATCTACTTTTGCCTTTTGCTTCGTCGCCATCTTGGGTCTTGCCAGGCAACGCACTTTATGCCGGGAAGAGGTCGAGGAACAACTCGGGTTTGTGGGAAGTGAGGGATGAGGGTCAAGTAACTGTGTGCATTTCGGTATGGATGTGGTGTGGAGGAGTGGGGCGGCCGACACGTCTGCGAGCGAAAAGTGTGGGCCTTCATCGGGGAATTGGCTTCTGCCACGCTATGCATTTCAAATAAACCGAGGTGAGCGGGGTGGAGGGAACTTGGGTGTAAACCCACAAGCCCACACAAGAAGCAAATAAAGAAAGAGATGTAGAAAGATTGGAGTGTTTGTTATTATTATTATTGCATTGGACTGAATGTTTCTGTGGTGCATTTATTTATATTTTTTTTCTGTCATTTCTTCCCATCTCCCTTGCCGTGTAGATGGTGGCGCTGGCTTCTTTTTTTTGTGTCTCCTATCAGTGCAGAATTCATCTCATCCCTTGACGAAGGTGCTGCACGTTTGTGTGTGTGTTTTTTTTTTTACCTTGTTGGGTACGTGTGTTTGTCTGCAGTTATTATTATTTTTTTCCCTCGCTCCGTGTGTGTGTGTCTGACTCAGCTTCCCACCGTCGTGTGGAGGTCTCTGACATGCATCGGTGCTCCTCCACGCCACTCCACGCCACGCCCACCGCCACCTGTGTTGGGGCGCACATCAGCTCCCCGTGTCGTTACTGATGTTTGTCTACTTCTGCAGTTGATATATATATATATATATATATATATTGGATAAAAGGAGAAAAATGAGGTAGAGAGAGAGGGCAGTGCCTGTCATTTACGGCAGCAAGCAACAGGGCCCACACTGGCCGCAGGGGTATAAGTGTTTGTACCACCTCCGTGTTTTCTGCGGCTGTCAAGACGAGTTACAATCACGCCACTGTAGAAGTCATGTAGGAAGCATGAAGAACGCCGCTGCTACGGCTGTTTAGGTGTTATAATTCACTGCTTTACACATCGGCATCGGTTTTTTTCGTGACTGCTGATTGTTTTTGTCGTTATTGCTGTCAAGCGTGTGTTAGGAGGAAGGTGCGACCAGGTGGAGTTTGGTAGATGAGGGTGGGATATTTTTGACTGTTCTCTTTCTTTGCTTGATAATTATTTCCTTATATGTTTTTTCCGTTCCAACGGCATTGCGTTGGACTGCAGATAGTGTGTTTTTGCCTCTTTTTTTTTTTCTTTTTGTTTCCTTCGTCTCGCCTCAGGCTGTTATTGAGAATGCCCCCCCCCCCCCCTCGCAAAGGGGGCCCGGTGGTTGCAGAGCCATGAAGACTACCGCTTCATGAGTTTCCAACGGGCCCTTGTTTATCGTAGCAAACGCCTTATGAATCCAGTTGGTTGCTGGTGTATTTATGAGATATATATTTTTTTCCGAAGTTGCGGGAAGCGTCAGGTGCATACTGAACCACCACCGTGGTCTTTCATCGATGTGTTCTCTCACTCTCTGTCTTTTTGTATGTAGGAATAGGGGACGAGTCCTCAACCAGACGTATACAGTTGTATTTTTTTTATTTGCGTTATTGTTTCATCGTAACGGCTCTGGCACGCGGGGAATGAGTGCGAGACTTGCGGCACTAGATGGCATCGAAAAATCTGTGCGTTTGGCGCGGCAGTACGCAATGGAGTCAAACTACGATGTCGCCGTGGCCTTTTACGCGGGGCTTGAGAAGGATCTTGAGACGTGTGTACAGTGCACCGGCAATGCCAAGGATCGGGCCAGCTGGGCGTTGCTGCAGGAAAAGATTGCGGAGGAGTGTTCGCTGGTGCGCTCCTTGCAAGTGGAACTGAAGGCTCTCGTGAACCCGGCCGATGCGGCGCGGCTTGACCGCGTGCAAAGAGAGGAGGATGACACTCACACGCCAGCGCAGATATCGTCTCCGCGATCAATTCCGATACGTGGCGTGGCCCCTGTGAGTGCGGCAACCACACGACCTGCTCGTCCTACCGCAGTGCGCGAGAAGGCGTCATCACTCTCCTCCTTGTCTTCGCCAGTCCCGCAAGATCTAGCGAATGCCCCTGGGGCGAGGAATGAAGCGCTGTATGGCGACAAGGATCGCTTTGGCCCGGCTGAAGGACCTATTAGAAAGCAAAGAGCAGGTGGGGTGCAACGGGCACCCCTCCGCTATAGTCCACCAAAGAACAAAAGCCAATTTTACTCAGCAAGTAGCACGTCCAACCCATCCCCTCCTCCTCCTCGCCAACCAGTCAAGGCCAAGGTGGTTACGCGACGTGTGGTGAGAGAGAATGAGGGCGGGCAAAAACGTCAGAGTTTGCGGGCCTCCGTTCCACGCTTTTCTCCACGCACGGGGGAAGAGGAACTGGTCTCGCTGATTGAGTCAGACATGCATGTTGGACCCATAAGTGTGTCATGGGACGATATAGCTGGCTTAGAGGAGGCGAAGGGGTTGCTTGAGGAGGCCGTTGTGTATCCCGTACTTATGCCAGAGTACTTTCAGGGCATTCGCCGTCCATGGAAAGGGGTTTTGTTGTACGGTCCGCCAGGAACCGGGAAAACAATGCTTGCCAAAGCCGTTGCATCTGAGTGTACTACAACATTTTTTAATATTTCTCCTGCCACGCTGACCAGCAAGTGGCGTGGTGACAGTGAAAAACTTATCCGAGTTCTCTTTGAGATGGCACGGCACTATTCTCCAAGTACAATTTTTATTGACGAAATAGACTCGCTATGTGGTCAGCGTGGCGACAGCAGCGAACATGAGGCCTCACGTCGTGCGAAGGGAACATTGCTGGCGCAGATGGACGGCGTCGGCGTTGACCCCAGGAAAATAGTCATGGTGTTGGGCGCCACCAATCATCCATGGACCATTGATGAGGCAATGCGTCGGCGCCTAGAGAAGCGTATCTACATCCCTCTTCCTGACCTTGACGACCGCATGGAGTTGTTCCGGATTAACACCAAGTCCCTTAGTCTGTCCCCCGACGTCGACTTTGTGCACCTGTCCAAGATGCTGGAGGGGCGTCACTATAGCTGTGCCGACATCACCAATTTGGTGCGTGATGCGGCCATGATGACAATGCGACGTCTGATGGAAGAGATGGACAAGTCCGAGCTCAAGCGACGAGCGGCGGAGATAAGCAAACTTGTGGCGGAGCAACCCATCACAATGAAGGATTTCTTGGGTGCAGTGAAGAATGTTCCCAGCAGTATCAACGCTGAGCAAATCAAGAAGTTTGAGTCATGGAAGAAGGAGTTTGAGACAAATCCATAGAGTGTTGTGCATGGAGGCGGAACCACACACAGAGTTCCTGGGCACGCCGCGTACGTCTGACGATGGAATCGAGCGAACAAGCATTAACAACACATATAAGGATGAGAAGGAAAAACAAAACAAAAAAAAAGTTAATAAGGCGGAACAGTTGGTTCAGGTAGCAATATAGAGGGATGTCACATACGCTTGTCGTTTGTTTTTGTTTTTTACTTTTTTTTTTTTTTCAAAAGAAGTACAGCTGCGTGGCGGCACGGAGTTTTTTGCCCTTTTGGTTTTGCATTATTTCGTTATGTTTTTGTTGTTGTTTTTTGTTTCCGCGAAGATGTGTATATGCCTGGGCATTGGCCATGCTGTTCCTCCGTAGTGTGAGATTTACGCCGGTGCTATTGCTTTTCAGTACCTCGCTGCCTGTTGTGTCCGCTCCGTTGTTACGCGGGATTCCGCGCGACGACGCCGTCGATGTTCAAAAAAGCACAATTGTGCAGGCACACGCCCGAGAAGAGAAACTTTTTGCTTGTTTGTTGGTTCCGTTTGCGCTTACTACTGTTGTTGCCAAAAAAAAATAGGAGAAGTAACAGGAACACTGCATGTCGGACCTCCGCGGCGCAGGGCGGCCGGGGGATGATGGGAAAGAAAACCGCAAACGAAGGCAGAGGAGTGAGCCAGCCTGCGGGGCTCTGAGTGGATGGCAAATCGCCTCCAACAGCCGCTGCCTTGCATGCGGGAGACTTGGGTCCATGTGTGATTGCAACAAGACCAAGATCGACCCCCAACTCAAGCGGCGGAAACTCGACAGCATCCTCCAGCACACACCGTACGTTCGCTGCAAGCAGCTTAGAGCATTAGACGAGATTTCGCGGGAGGAGTCAAAGTACCGTCGTCGTCTCGTGGATCGCTGGGGGGATGAGGTGGAATTGATTAGGCAAGTGGCCTTCACGCATCGCCGCATTCTCTTACTGCTCTTGCAAGAGACGGCCAGTCGTGAAGCGTTGCTGGCGGCGGAGCGCAAGGCGTGGTTGGAGGGGATGGCCGCTGGGGATCGGCACATTGTTTTGTTCGCCACTTCCAGCCATGAGCGCGAGGAACGGTGGCGGTTGTATGCCGCAGCGCAAAGGGAGGTGCAAGTACTAATGACGTGGCATGGCGCAATGTTTGACTGTCTCAGTTTGAAAACTCGAGAGGCGGCGTTTCGCGACGCACTCGTGAACCACGAGGCTGCGGCACGTGCGGCGCTCATCAGCCACAATTTTGAGCTTCTAAATCGCATGGACGCCGATGCGAGGGAGCGTCGTTCTCTTTACGAGGTATTTCGGGAGCGGCGTGAGCAGCTTGTGACGGAGTGGCAGGGAGGGACGGAGGTTCTTCGGAGCGCCATTGTGATGGACCAGCGCCGAGTTGCGTGGATGATGCAGGGGAGAGTTCAGATGTGCGAGTTGTGTGAGCGGCAGAGGGCCAAGCTGAGCGCAGAGGAGGAAGAAAGCAGAATGCGTGTGTACGGGCTTGCACGAGAAGAGCTCCATACAGTGATGGAGAGGGGACGAGTATGTGAGGAGCAGCGCAGCGCCTTTGTTCAACAAGAGGCGGGCGCTCGCAACGCCATTATGCAGGACGAGGCAGCTGCTTGCAATGCGCTGGGGTTGGTTTTTACGCACGGTGCAAAGGAAGCTCTTGAAACGGAGCAGTTGAAGTATGAGCAACGCGGGGCGGCGCTTCACGCGGCCATTCACCAATTAAAGAGCATCGTTGAAGAGGAGGCAGCTGCCTTTGCTTCACTCAACGCACAGGAGCACCGCGAGAAGGATCTGTGCTACCAGTGGATGTTTGAAAAGGGGAGGCAGCGCAAGGAACTGGAGCATGTGGCTTTTCATCACCTGCGGTTAGTGGTGGAAGAAGAAGAAGTGGCGCGGCAAGCAGCCTTAACATCAATGCAAGAGGAAGAAGTAGGAATTGCTGCGTGTCTTCAACACAAGACGCGAATGCTGCGGGAATTGGTGGATACAGCACTCGGTCAGAAGGGGGAAATACGTTTGCAGGAGCATGAGCAGCGTTTTGCACTGGTGTCACACAAGGCTGGGCAAGAAGACGCCGTGCGTCGATGGATTGAGAATAAGGAATGTGTGCGACAGTCACTCATGGCAGAGGAGACGACGCACCGCATTCACACAGTAGAAACGGAGCACGCTGCACGAGAAGAACTCAGCTGGCGCTTTGACACTGGGCAGGATGCCTGTCAAGCGCTCATGCATGAACGAATTGAGAAACAGAGGGCATTTCAGCAGAAGGCACTGCAGGTGCTGCATGATATTTTGGAGCAGGAAACCAGTGCGAGGCTTCTCATGTGGCGTCTTGTTCAGGATGACAGGGAAAGAGCCACTCACGAATCGAATCACCGGCAGATGCTTGAGATGTGTAATGCGGAAGCAGAGTACCGTACATACGTTGTACAGCAGGAGGTCCGCCACCGTGAGAGCATTGCCACACAGATGCATCTTCAGGAAACTTTCTTTACAAAAGAGGCACAGGAGCTGCTCAAGGCACGAATTTGTGAGCTTGTAGCTATTGAAGAAAGTCAGCGTATTGTGTTTTTGCGTCTTTACTCAGAGGCTACAGAGCTGCTCTACTTCGCCTCTCGACAATCCTGGGAGGAGGCGGAGCGGTGTAAGAAGGAACGTGTGCTTGCGGAGCTGCGTGACCGCGAAGTGGCTCTGGTAGAGGACGCACGCGTGTATCGCGAGGATGAATTACTTGTCTTTTGCCACGTGGAGCCTTTATCGCAAGAGCTCCACGATCCAGCTGCGGCCCCTTTGACGCAGGAGTCCTGGAATGCGCAGCGAGAGCTCATTTTTGCTGAGCTTAGCGGGGATAAAGACGATGTTGCCTCACTCACACCCGCAGCCGTTGGATTTTTGGCCGGTGCCATCGACGCCGTCAGCAGGCGGGAGTCGTCGCTCACGGCTGCGCTGCATCAGGCGGAGGTGGCGCTCAAGGAGGCCAGTAAGAAGGTGATCCACCAAAGGCAACTTCTCTCCAACACAAAGGAACGATGGGAAGAGTTAAAAAAAAACTGGACCGTGACGCTCTTGAACACGAAACACGCGTGGCGATGCACCGCAACACACGACAGAGGGATGAGGGGCAGTTAGAGCGGGAACGCGCGAGGCTGCAAGCCAAAAAAGAGGAACTGCGCAAGGTGCAGAACAGCGTCTTGCGCATGCGGGAGAGTATTCACAATCAATACCAGAAGCGGTAGACTGAGGGGGAGGAGGCGCGTGCAGAGTGTGAGAGAAATAGAAAAAGAACTTCCATCCGGAAAAAAAAAGGAAATGCTTAGAGTGTGGGCAACATCTTGGGATGGGGTGGGGGGAAGGGCGTTGCATGGTGGTTTGGCTTTGTCCTACACCCAACCCAACATTGGTGATCACACGTGGTGCACATTTTTTTTATTTGTGAATGTTTATGATAATTGAAATAGATGTCGTTGTTGTTGTTTTCTTGTTGTTGTTTTGGAGGGGGGAGGAGTTTCTTTAGATCCACGTCACTTGTGTCTCCTCTTTATTATTATTTTTTCCCCCGTTTTTTTTTTTTGTTTGCACGTGCGTGCGTTTTTCCGGTTTGCATGCCCGTTCCTCACCACACTGGGAGGACCTCCCTCTGGTGGGCGCCCTTTCGTGGACCCTCTCACAGTTGCACCTTTTTTTTTTTTTTGGCTTGTTCCGGTTGTTTATGGAGTGATGGGCATGTCAGTGTGTGTGCCGTGTGGACCCAGTTTACCCCCATCAGTTTGGGGGCGGTGAGTAGGGCGCAGCACTGACGCGGCATGGAGGAAGAAATTGCGGTGGCGCAGCTGCACCAGAGTGGCTCTTGCACAGCTCACCATTACGAGAGGAGCAGGAGCTAAACAGATGCTTCTACCAACTTTGTCGAGGCATGGCAAGGCCAACGCCCGCCTGCAGAAGTGTCACGTCACCCGCAGCGGAGGAAGGTGGCGGTGTCACAGGCCGGTTGTGAGCAGCTGTGCAGCGGGCGAGAGCGTCAGGAAGCAGACAGCTGGCAAATTTGAAACGCTTCTGTTTTGTTGGATGCTCCAAAGGAAAAGGAGGTGCAGCTGGAACACCAGATTGATCTGCTGTTTGCTGCTCGCAAAGGCTTACAGCGGAGGTGGAGGTCCGTGACTTAGAAAAAGTGGGCATCAATTTGGTAATGCTACGTGGGGAAAACATCTTTTTTTTTCTCTCAACCGCTCATACTAGGGGGAGGGACGGAGGGGGCGCTGATTTTACCACTTTAGGCGGTTTTATTTTTTTTATCATCGTTAACCGTCCTGACGCAATGGGGAAGGCTGGGGAGTGTTGTCCACCTGAAAAAGCACCTGCTTTCTTTGCTCAACAGCCTTCTGTTGAGTACACATTTCATTTTGGCACCGCCGTTTTCTTTTTTCTTTTTTTTATTGTTTTTATTTATGTCTCTTGTGGGGGTCAAAAGGAGCTTACGAGGAATGCGCTGGAGTACGAGAGGTTGCCATTAGTATAAGTGTGTTTCTTTTCTTTGTTATTGATGTTTTTTTTTTTTGGTTTGTTTGAGGGCTGTTCACGTTGTTTTTCTTGCGTCTTACCATTGGGCTTTGACAGGCCGTGCCCCCGGGGAGTTGGATGCTTAGCATTTGAATTACTTTCATTTTTGGTCTTTATTTCTTCATGGGTTGTGGCTACTTTGCTTCACATCGGCCTGAAACAAGGTGATACTTTTGCAAACAAGAATAAATCTGCTCTGACAAGCCTACTACATAATTATCTAAAGAACAAATGTCAAGAGAATTCTCATTGGTGGTTTTTGGAGCCACAGGCTACACGGGCAAACTGGTATGTGAGTACCTTGCACGTCTTGGTTCAGCAAATGTGGGATCTTGGGCAATTGCAGGCCGTAATAAGGAGAAGCTGGATGAACTAAAGAAGGAACTTGGCGTGGACATCGCTGTGCTTTCTGCAGATATTACCAACCCCAGTTCCCTTGACAAAGTCTGTGCTGGTACCAGCGTGCTCATTTCCTGTGCAGGTCCCTTTACACAGGTTGGGATGCCTGTTGTTGAGGCCTGCGTGCGATGCCGTACGCACTACGTGGACTCAACAGGTGAGTATAATTTTGTCCGTCAGGTCATTGAACGATTTAACGAGGAAGCGAAGAAACAGGGTGTTGCTCTGGTGTCCTGTTGCGCATTTGACAGCGTCCCTGGGGACCTGGGCAACTACGTTGTGCATCAAGGCCTTGGTGCACAGGTGAGCGAAGTAAGGGCGTTTTACCAGCTGTCGGGTGCCGGGATGTCGGGCGGCACGGCACGCTCTGTCTTTGCGCTTCGTGAGGCGTGCTGCCCGGAAGACAGCGATCCATACAGCTTGCTCCCGACGGATGCTCCACGCCCCGTTACAGCGCCCACGCGGAGAGGTTTGTGGTACGATGTTTCGGAGAAGAGGCTGACGGGGCCGTTTGTGATGGCTGCCACCAATGAGCGCGTGGTGCGTCGCACGAATGCCTTGCTTGGCTACGGAGGCACCTACGTGGAGGCACAGGAGGGAACACTTGGAGTTGTTGCCGCTGCAACTATCACG